GAGGTCATGTTAGAAGGGACTGAGCAGCATGCTACAGCTGCATCTATGATGAGACCAGACAATATCATGTCGGATTTTATATTAGTATCAGACAAGGACAAATTGTAGAAAAATAGGAATGTTTGACTTAAAACCAGGCAAATGGGAGTCCCATAGATAGTCAATGACTGATTCTGCAAACTCTCTTGTATATGGTTAATGCTGAGTGTGTTAATAGTACCACTGTAATCAATGGGAATTGTTGCATACTTAAGTAATGTGATCATATGCGTAGGTGTTTGCAGGGTAAGGCCTTAATTTGCAATTAACATATTCACAATGAATATTTCCACATGTTTTAATTTCTCATTTAATTTCACTAAATTTTTGCTATGTACTCTCTCCATTCACTAAATTTAATGGTAGTGATTCTCATCACTGAGATGCTCCCCATATTTAAAGTTTATATATTCTGCAATGCTCTCTTGTGAAGCAACAATTAGATAATCATAAGGGTAATTATGAGTTTAACGACACAAGTTTGTCCTTATATTTAAAGCAATGGAGGAAAATCTGTGGTCTAATCCCTGCATTTAGGAAGAACTTGACATTTATCCTTCCTGCATCCACATACTTGATGCAAATAATAGAAGATAGTATCTGTGCTACTATTAGCCTTCAGCATATCTGGGACTGTAAATGGCTCTTTGTGAAATAAAAATTGTTCATTTTGACTTCATTTCTATGGCTTGTGTTTTTCAGGGCACTGTTATATACAGGTTAGGACTAGGGCTAGTTTTAAAACAACAGTTACATTGTGGGGGCATGGGGAATATTTTATGTAACTTTGAAAACTGAGGACGTGCTGATTCCTTTCCTATCCAAATCCTTTCAAAGATTTGCTGTTTGTGGTGACTGATTTTTGATTTTTGGGAATAATATTTTTTTCCAAAGCATCAGAGTCATATTGAATGAATTGGAAGATTTATGGTAATTAAAATATGTTTAGTGCATATTTTAAACTCCCTTGTTTGTATTTTAGTGTTGCTGTAAAGCATTGAATGATGTGCAGCAATGGTTCCAATTGTTCGTTCATTGTAAGAACAGCTGTTGTTTGACACACATTTGACATTTTGAAAGTTAAAATTAATTCCCCATTGCCTGTTTTTCTTAGTAAAGAATACTCATTATTTGTTGTTTCACAGTCCTGTTCTTCAAAGACATCTAAATAATCAAATGTACGGTAGATGTGGTTCTTGGGTTGAGCTTTTAGTTATTTCCTCTTTCCTTCATTAATAGTTCCTGTGTGTTTGAGTTATGCATTACTTTCCTATTATGTTACAAATATTTAAACATATATTTAAATTATGCGGAAGTGTTTTAGGTGCTCCAAAGTGAGATAGAGAAATACAAGTTCCTTGCTTCCATGATCTAGTATGCACATAAGTAACTTCACTCCCTTGAACAGT